AAGATAATAAAATGTATGTCTATCCCTTGTTCATCAGGAATTTCAATTAACTGCTATTCCCCGCCGCCCCCTCCCCCCCCCCCCATACTCTATTGTGCTTAGCTACCAAAAGCTTTGCTTGGCAATTTCCAAAATGACAATAGATTTTCAACAATTTGAGAGTGTGTGATGTTCACACTGAGCACACACATGCTATCTCTTCTATCTCAGAAAGGCTATTTGTCCCTCAGGGATTGCACTAGAGAGGGTTTTTGCTACTTACTAACAAAACAGCAACATTGCAAATCACCTGTACTCTTCTAAAACCTATATTATGAAGTTCTGTGTGACTTTTTTTCCTCCTTGAGAAATGATGTATTTTATCTCCCTTTCTCCATTACTTTAGATTCAGAATATATTTACAAAAATTGTTTCTGCTAATTGTTGGGAAAATCCCTCGTGAGCTCAAGTGAGAGGTCAAGCCTAACATACCAGCATATTCATATACGTGGGCTCACGGAATGTTAACAATGGAGTCTCCAAATGATTCCCCAATTCTTCTAAAACAGAACTAACAATTAGAGATGACAATTGTGTGTGATATTTGAAACATCAATCTTGAGCCTACAACCCTCACATTTCCTAAGAAATTGATATTTGCTTTGGTTTAATATTCTTTTCAGGAATCAATTGCAAACCACTCACAATTCAATCAAAAGACAATATAGGGCTTCTGTATGTAGATGCTCCAATTTCCAGCATTTTATTGCTGCTCGAGTGCTTTTGAGATGACAGGTTTCCCTCCATAGAACAAGCTTAAATTAGAACAAATCAAACACCAATCAGAGAAAACACAGATTTACTTTGCTATTAATTGATATAGAGCCGTAAAGCTCCCATCACCTGGAAGCTCATAGTATCCTTGCCAGACATTTTCCGGGGCCAGAGCCTGGTCAGCAACCAACTTGGCATAAGCCAGAACTGTCTGCTGTGATGAGCTAGACCTCTGAATTTTCCTCTCTAAAGATGTACAGCACTAGAGGAGACAGTGAGACAGCTCCCCAGCACAATCTACTCACGTTTTAGGAGAGGAATATTACTCTCTACTTGCTTAATTTTATTTTTTAGCACAATTCTCAAAAGTTGAACTTTCCCTCTGTTCTGGCTTCTCTCTGCCCTGTTAAATTGGGCATGAATTAGCATACCTTATTTAGTAAGCAGAAAATAATTCTTATCAGAATTTCAGATCCTTCAGCTGTTGTGTCTTAAATACTGGTGGCAGGATTATTGAAGGTTCTCGGATTGATGCCTTTGGAGGTTGGAAGCACCTGAGGTGAGGTGGGAGGACAAGGAAGATGTGAGACTGTTGAAATATAAGGTGGCCATGGTTAACTTTAAGGAAGCATCTCCATCCTAACAGAACCCCCCCTCTAATGTCTCCTGCAGTTTTGATTTTGGAACATGTCACATTCCTCATTAAAGCAATCACTGTTAAAACATAAAGCAACACAGGATTTATTTCTTCATTAAACTGATGATCCGTATATGAAGCCAATTAACATTATAAGTCTGGTGAACATCAAGTGTAAAGAGGTTAGAGAAAATTAAAAGCAGTCACCTTGGTCTTTAGATAAAGAAAGTACACCTTTAGGTTGTAAATTATCAGCGTGTCCAAGCGGGACAGATTGGTGAATTTGGTTAACTGGAAAATACACTTTGTTGCACAAGAATTAAGGGGAGAAGAAAACAAAACAAAACCTCCCGTTAATATCCGTTTTGGGGAAGAGGTTTAATAATGGCTATATTATTAGTCACTTGCTGGGGGCTGAACTCAGGAAACAATTGGGGATAAACGAGAGGCCCCCAGAGGCATCAAAGTTTCTTTCCAGGGTTATTTGGTTTGTTGTTTATTCGCTGTTCTGCTTCATGAAGGAGCCCAGCTTCATTGCTCCTGGGGAGAGACACTGGACAAGGTGAGGCTGAGGGTCTCAAGTTGACCTCAAGTCATTCCCGAGGTGGGTGTTTTCCGTTCGTTTAGAGGGTCATCTCCCTGGGGACGCAGCCAGGCTTAAGTCGGGAGATTCGGGGGAGCTAGGCGGGAGGGTCCGCAAGAACCTCACATGGGGGTGCAAAGGTCCGGTCTCTGCTGCATGTGATGAACCATCGTCCCAACAAACTTTAACCAATTTGGACCCAGATAGTTTTGGGGTTGGTTCCGAAAGGAAAAGATCGAGCTCAGCAGATTTCATCGCCGCGCCGCCGAGGACCGCAGCAGAATAGTTGGATCGGCTCCTCGCCCAGCTGCAGCTCGAGCAGCGCCGGTGCTGCCTGCGGCTCCAGGTTCTGACCCATAGGAACCTGTAGGAACCTGCACTCCCTGTATGAGTCCACCCACCCCTTGCGGCACCTGGGGGCCTTGCTGGGAACTTGGTAGGGACTTGATTCCGAGGCTTCGGGGACAAGGGACTGAGAATCGGGGTTGCGCCTCGGTTTCTTGGGGTTCGGAGGAGACCGGCGTCGGACTGGGAGCGCACGGGCGGTCTGCGTAGCCCCCCAACGGCGCCGGAGCAAGCCCCGCCGCCAAGCCACGGATCCCGCCGGGCGGCGCAGACTGGTTCCTCGCCTGGCTTGCAGTCCCGCTCCGGAGAGCACAGGGCGCTCCTGGGGGTGGCAGCGGGAGCGGCCGTTTGGAGGCTGTGGCGAGCGTCCAGGGGACCTCAGGTTCTTGAGAAGGGTCCCTGAGATCAGGGGTTCTCCGAGAGCGAGAAGGAAAGGGCGCACTTCAGAGCCAGCCAGACTCGTGGCCGGGACAGAGAACGCCCGTTGCTGATCCTTCGGAGCGCCGAACCTCTTTGGATAAAGCAGGAGCGCGTCTCTGACCGCTCCTTCCCGGTCAGCCCTGCTGGCCCCCAGCCCAGCCTCCGGCATCTGTCGCCTTGCCTCCCCCAGTAGGGCCGCCTGGACTCTTGGAGTCCGTGATCCTGGCAGAACTGGTGACTCGGACTTTCTCCGCTGTGAACCGCATCGGTTTCCCCGGGGCTCCTTTTGCAGGGCGACTCTGCTCTGGGGAGCACCGACCCCAGGAGGGGAAGCTTTGTGTCCTAGGAGCCCCGGCTTGCCTCGGCAGGAATAGTGCCTTTCTCCGCGAATTTTCGGAGGGGTGGTCACAGGCGGGCCACGACCCGCTGTTAATCCTGAAGCCAAATGCTCCTCTCCCTGCCCAGGTGTTCTTGCGTGGCCCTCCAGGCCTTTCGTTTCAAATGCTGTTTCTGTAAAATTAAGGCTGGCTCCTGGGCCTTCCAGGGGACCGAGCCACTGTCTCGACCCAGGCTCCCGATCACAAGTTTAGAATGTTTATAAAATATTCAATTTATTCAGTCTGTCCAAGAAACCATCTTCCCAAAATAAAATCAGCTGTCTAGACGGAACACAGACACGAGAATTTATCAACAGTTGTCTGACTTGCATCTTCTGATGCATCTTGAGTGGGTCATAATACCAACTTTATTTTCGGTGGTGCATAAATTAATTACATGCATTTAATAACCAAAATATCATCATATTCCCCCTTTAATATCATAAAGGCTTTCCGCCAGGGAAGCACTTAATAGTGCAGGGGGCCGTAACGGGCTATTATCCTGGTGTAATGCTATTACAGAACCAATTATGCGCCATTAGGCTTGCTTTTTTTGCAGTTTATGTGATTTGATCCAATCCCGCGCCCCTGACTTGAAAATTTCAGCCCGGCACTTTAGAGTTTAATTTTCACCCAGGCAGAGGGAAGGGCTGTCTCTCTCCGCTGAGTGTCTGCCTCCGATGCATTTTAAAAGTAATTGCGAAGGGTCCCACCGCATATCATTTGCATCTAGAAGCAACATAAATTCAGGAACCCCTTGCTGAGAACAAAATCAAACTTTGCTTTTGTATGATCGCTTGGAAAGGGAAGCCATGCGCAAAGAATCCCCCCCCACCCCCGCCCCCAAACCCATCCGGCGGCGACAATTAGCCGCGCTTTGTCAATTGGCAGCCCAGTAGTCCTCAGGCCTCTGACAAGGGCCAGCCCCAATCTAAGCCGCCTCAGAGAGCGAAGATCTGAGTTAGAGGGGACACGGGAGGAGCCAGGGTGTTCAGACAAGAACGCCTTTCTTTTGGGGGTTGGTGGGGGGTGTTGCGGCGAGGAGCGGCGGTTTATATCCTCTTTAAACGAAGAAAACCATTCCTGATGTTTGCTGAGAAACGACGGATTTTTTTTTAACACCACGTGGGCCATTTGTAAGGCCCAATAGACCTATCCAAGTTACTCGCTGTAGACAGCGCTGGAAATAATCAGATTAAGGCCAATTATGCGTGAGATTATAAAGGCGAGTGCTGAGCGGCGGCGCGAGCTGTAGACAGACAGCCAGACATCTGGCTACTTCGCGAGTCACTTTTCCGGGTCCGCGGGCGCCGGCCGCGCAGCCCCGCCCGCCTAGCTCCGGGGAGAGTCGGCCCGAGGCCGTCCCGCTCCGACCCTCCCGGCCGCCGCCCGCCAGCCCGCCGCCCAGGTACGCGCGGCGCTCGGCCCCCTGGCTCCGCGCGCCTGGGCCTTGGGGCTCGGCTGTCTTCCGGCGCGTCCACCGGACCTGGCTTTGGTGCCCGGGCTCGGGGGTGGGGGGTGGGGGGTGGCAGGGATCCCTGGAGAGCAGGCAGCCGACCGCAGGAGTTTGGAGTTGGGCGGGGGTGGCTCACGGCTGGTGGGGAGGTGGCCCCGACTGAAGGGGCTGCTCCCCCAGGGTCTCGGCTGGCGACGAAACTGCCAAGTCCTATCCTGTCCCCGCAGTGGGCCGAGGACGTTGGGAGAGGCTTTTCAGGAGGTGAGCGCCAGGTGCGCTCAGGGGCCCGGGCCGCGCCAGGGCGCTCGGAGAGGGAGGCTAAGGCTTGGCCACTGTTTGTTTTGCAGGCAGGCGCCGGAGCCCTGTACTTTGGTCAATTCCGCGACCACCCTCCAGAGACTCAGCCCTCCAGCCCAGCGACCGTCGGCGATGTTTTATTTCCACTGCCCGCCACAACTAGAGGGTGAGTAAACGCCGCGCCCCAGGCAGACGAGTGTCCCCACTGCTCCAGGAGGCTGCGATGGCCGCCAAGGACCCGAGCGGCAGCGGGACTGGTGGGTGGTGAGGCCCGCAGTCCGAGAAGGATGGCGCCTTCTAGGATGCAGCTGTGAGTGCAGAAGCCCGCCCCCCTCACCCCCACCTCCCACCCCAAGCCCCAATCCCGCTGCCCCCCACCCCTCCAACCCAGCCACCACCTGCTTCCCACCTCTCTCCTCAGCCTGGGCCAAGGGGCCCCAGGCTATGTGCTTTGCTCTAGGGACTGGTCGGGTACTCAGGGCTCAGATGCTGGTGTCTCGCCTTTAATCTGGCCTCCCTCGCCTAGGGGACCACGTCAATCTTTCACGGGTTTTGTCAACATCCCCAGAAAGCCAAGGCCTACTGTGCAGTTGACTGGACCTGGAGCCAGGAAAGGCCCAAGTCTTAGGGTATTCTCACTGGGGGCGGAGGGAGAGACGTCTAGCCCCACAGCTTCAGGACCCAGTGGTGTCCTTCCAACACTTGCACAGAGGCTCCAACTCTTGCTGACTACTGTGCCTCGGGATGCTGTGACCCCAAATAGCAACCACTCCCCACAATTTCTAACTTTCAAGGGACAGCCCTACGGCCATCATTTATACCTCAGAGGGTCTCAAGGCCTTGGAAGAAATTTCTCAAGAGCCCTCTTGGGGTCTCTGGCCCTGGTTGTTAATTAGAGGTAATGTCAACCTCTGGTGCAGGTGTCCAGAGCCTCGGGATCCAGGGGTGTGCCCTCCACATAGGGAAGAGACTGGGTAGTTGGGCAGGTGATAATGGCAGTGCAGGTTATGCTCCTTTAACACAGCATCCTCAGTTTGGAGATGTAGTGGATGCAGTACCAGAACTGGGCTTTGACAATCTACTCCTTTAATTTATTTGTAAGGGGGGAGTTGGGGAGGGCGCTGGGCACAGATTAGGAGGCAAAGAAATTGAGGGAAACATGAGACAGGAGAAAAGGGGCTGAAGAAATGAAGGCCTTATCATATGGCTGCCTGCAAGCAATCTTACCTCAGCTGATAAACATGCACAGGGATTTCAGAAAGTTTTGTGGCTATTTTCCCCATGCAAAGCTCTTAAGAATTCAGCAGGGTTTTCTAAAGGAGGCTAATGAGGTCTGGTGTAGAAGTCTGCTTGCTCTGGAAAAGGGGATGGCTGGGCAATTACCTTATTTACCCCTTTAGGTTTCCAAAAGCACAAACAGGCCAGTTGTATGAACAAGGTGAAGAGGCATACCTCAGGAAATATATTCCAGGGCTGGAGGAGCCATCTATAGCTATGCAGGGTGAACTTTCTCTGAGCTTCTGAACCTCTGGTTTGGAATGACTTCCCCGGGTACCCCAAAGTGGAGAAGGCAGAGGCCTGGACACATAGCAGGTGGCAGTCTTCCTGGGTGTCTTAAAGTGAATGCCCTTCAGTTTTCAGAATCACTTAGGGCAGGTCCTGGTATGGCCTGTCAGAGCCTCAGGGCAGTGAGCAGCTTGCTCTTTCAATTCATCCCATCTGATATCTTATTCCCTTGAACGGCATGGATTCTGATGGATATGACCAGAAAGAAAGGAGTTGGGTCTTCAAGAACCCCTTCACAGAGGTGTTTTTATGCCAGTTTTACATAATGCTGTATATATTTTAGTTTCATGGTGCTGGGGAAGAGGTGGTCAGCCGCATACAGGCAGAGATCTGAATTCAGACTGTGATATCTCCAATCTGTTGGCTATTAATTATTCTTTCTTTTATTGATATAGGGAGGCATAAAGAAGAAAGCAAACAGAGCTCATAATCTCAACTCTTAAATAATATTACTGATATGAAATTAGGAGCTACTACATGTCGCTGTTTAGGAAATATCTGAAATTTGAAATCTTCCTTCACCACCTCTTTTTCTAAAAGTGCTCACTATTGCTGGGCCCTGTTATCCCTTAAATATATAACAATTTTACTGTCAAATATATATATTTCTCTATAGGTATGCTATATATTATTTGCACTGAACAGCAAACACCCTCATCATGCTGCACTTTATTTTTTTCACTCGGTAATATGTCTTGATGATTTTTCCTTGCATGCTCATACATGCTTTCTTTTAAACAACTGTGTAGTATTCCAATATATGCTGTACAAAAAGTGCCCACTGATGAGCATTTCAGCTGTGTCCAATTTCTGTTTTTTAAACAATGCATGAACATTCTTGTTGCTCTCTTTTGGCACATTTTAAAATAAGTGTATTCATACATTAAATACTGTTTTTGAAAAATGTTTTCCAAATTGTCCCCCAAATGCAGTACTAATCGATGCTTCTATAACTAACTGGTCAATGGGAGTGAACATTTTTTTGCACTCTTATCTGCTCTGGGTATTTTCTTTATTTTTTATTATATATGCACTTTATTTTCTCCAAGATGGTGAAAATAGTATTTCATTGTTGTTATTCTTCTTCTGGTTTGTTTAATTATCAGCGAGGGTTAGCATTTTCATAACATCATAACCATTAATTATATTTATTTTTAAATAAAAAGTCAATTGCCATTTCCCCCTCAATTTTGTATTAGGTGGGTCTCCACTTAAAAAATTTATTTTGATGAGGCATCCACTGTCTTTCAGATAAATTTGACATGCAGTGTTTCACTTAAATATTTGTTGTGAAAGGTTTGGGTTAACAAGGTATAGATTATTGGACTGGGAAAATTTGTGACTGAAGAGCCTCAGAGACTGCAAAAGGAAACAATTCACTAGCTTGAAAAATAATGGGAGTAAGATTGCTCTGAGGTGCTCCCTTTGAAATTTACAATGAGCTGGAGAGAAATGTTTGTAAATAGGATTTTGAATAATAATGTGATTTGATTAGGAAGATGGAAAGGGGAAGCTTTGGCAGAGAGCAGGGATGTTATAGCAAAAGAGCTAGCCCTGGAGAGTAAAATAATAACTAGGACAGACTCTGCTTAGTAGATAAAATTTTAGAAAGCCCAAAGGACTTTGCTTCTCTGGGACTGAGGCCTTTCTGAGGGATATTGTTTGGGCAGTTTGGCTGTAAATCCTAAAGCTGAAAGGACAGTGATTCTACAAACAGAATCCATGGCAGGTAAAGCATTTACTGGTTAATGGAAACTTGCTCATTTGTTTTCCTAAGAAGTCATTTTGGACAGTAATTAGTGCACATTTGGAAAATGATTTCTGACTTTATAGAAAGCTTTGGAGACCATCAGAAGACAATGTCTTTCTTTTCCAGGAGCTGTCTGTCCTTTATAAGACCTGGCCAGAGGGTAAGGTGTCCTCTGAGAGAGGCCACATCTCAGTCTGCTAGGAATTCAGGGTAGCTGCTATTGGTGCAGATCTTTTGTTAATTGACATCTATAGAACACATCCACTATGGTGCTAATGAGCTGTGACGAATGGTAATTAATATTCATTCATAAACTTCTTACCTCCTGGGGTCCTGCATTTCTAGGAGGAAAGTACTGCAAATAGACTTGGTGTTTTCTTTGCCCCTCCAGCCTCCCCACCCCCAGCCTTTAACCCTTGCTGTTTATAGAAATGAGGGGAAATGTCCTCACAGCTTAATCTAAGACACGGAAGCCCATATTAAACTCATAAGAGCTAATGGAGCATTGGCAGGGGTGTAAATGGGAGTCCTATGGTAAATTAAGGCTCCATCTCTAACCAGTGACCCTTCCTGTCTTAGAGTTAAAAATTTCCCACAAAAACAACCTGTTTGGGGGCTAAGGTCTTCATACTCCCAGTGGAGTGTGCATGAGACCCAAATAACCAAACCACGGAGGCGATTTTGAGCCGTCGCGACCTTATAGAGCAGAGAAGAACTGCTCTCCAGGGTCGCTGTGGCCGTACATTTTTATGGGAGCAGACAACCCCATCTTTCTCCCCTAAAGTGCCTGGTGGGTTTGAACCTTGAGATTGGCAGTTCAACATTTACATATCAGCACCTCCAGGACTCTGGGTCTAAGCTCAGAGATCTGGAGGAGAGAGTGAAAGGACAAGAGGGGAAGGGCATGGAGGTTGGGATGGGGGAGGGGGGTTTACTAAGAGGAGGAGGTCCTGGGGGGTGCAAATGGATAATGCTCTTGGTGGCTAATCAAAAGGTTGGAGGTTTCAGCCCATCCAGACACTTTGCAAGAAAGATCTGGAAATCTACTTCTGACTAAAACCAGCCATTGTGAACCCCGTGGAGAGTAGTTCGAGTCTGACACACTTAAGGTTGTCACGAGTTGGAATCAACTTCCCAGCAACTGCTTGCCGGTAAGAGGAGCAGAGAAAGAAACGTCCGGCGAGCAAAGCTGGAGAAAGCTGTGGCTGGGCCCCTCTACATGGGTTGGCTGCTGTAGGAGTCAGTGTGAAGTCTGCAGGTCCCTGTTCAGGCTGATCCAGTTTGTTCCCAGTAGGCACTGCACCCTTTGGCAACCACTCAACGGGGGACTTTGATGATGGCTTTTTGCGCAGAAAACAGCGGAGGAACCGAACAACATTCACTCTTCAGCAGGTAACAAAACTGATCCTCCTTCTGAGAACTTCCTGCTCCAGAAAACACAGGAGAGATTGAGTAACTCACATCTCTTATAATAAGGCCAATGATTATTTTACCTGGACCTTTGTGTTTTCTGGAGTAATTTGTATATCAAGGAATCTGTTCAAGGGGAGGGCAGATGACTACCCCACTGACCTTAATTTAATAGTTTGGAAAATATTTCTATATCAGCAAATAGGATTGGAATCTCATAACTCTAAGAGTAAAGTGGGGCAGACAAATTTATCCCTAATTAAAAGCTAAGGTTTATGAAATAGACTGAGTTGTCCAAGTTATTTTATCTAATGAGTGGAGGAGTGACATGAAGAATCCTGATATTTCTGGACCTTTCTTAGATCAGCTACTGTCAGAATCCTGGATCAAAATGGGTCAATTTTCCATTCTCTTTCACCCCATTGTGAAAGTTTGGTGAATTACTATAGTTTATAATGCTAGCCTTAGATTTGTGATTCCTATAAATGTTTTTTAATATAAGTGCCTGTGACTACTTACTACACTCATATCTTCTCCTTTAGAGAGCGCTGAGGTTGTTAGTCAGTCTTTGCTTCTAAGTCATCTGTGGTTGAAATTTTAATTCTGTGGGATTTTTTCAAATAGCTCTTTCCTCACCCCCTTCCTCTATTTGATTGTGAAACTGCTTCCTCACCACTCGTAGCACATTTGAAATATCCACCTTCTGCTCCCCACTGAACCACAGATTCTCACTAGCAAATATTTTTTCCTTTTACCAGCTGGAAGCTCTTGAGGCAGTTTTTGCCCAAACGCACTATCCAGATGTCTTTACCAGAGAAGAGCTAGCCATGAAAATAAACCTCACAGAAGCTAGAGTGCAGGTAAACATTCTTTTTAATTATTTAACTCTCTAATATTAAAACTGGCAAACTTTTTTTTTGACATCATGACTGCAGAGTGCGCATTTGGCCAAAGAAAGCAAATGAAGACTATCTGTCATTTTCATGATGCACTTTAATAACATCAACATAATGTGGAATATTAGATTAGGTTGATTAATCGGTCATTCATAATTAACTAGTGATAATGTTCTACACTAATTTGTCCGCGTCTCTAAGGTACTAAATTACATCAATGCACATCCATTTCCTTGCTTTGGAAAAAAAAAAAAAAAGCTGAGATGCTATTCTCAAAGCATCTCTGACCGCTCTGGGGTAAGGCCAGTCAATGCAGAGAACAGAGTTTTCAGATGGGAAGCAGCGTAGGAGCTTTTTCCAGAAATTGCATCATGGCCAACTTTTCCTCAGTATGTGAACGGTTTCAGTGAAGTGGATCCAAAGAACATGTGCAATTTAAAAATCTTTAAGTGGCCTCAGTGTAAGGGCAGGCCCTTTGGATGGGCCTGGCTTATGGTGACAATCTTGAAGCAGGAGTTCTTTTTAGAAGCTACCCAGTGATTATATTTAAGTGCACAAGCCTGTTGAACCCAGCAGATGTGCCTAAGCTCCGGAGGAACTGATTCACAATGCTGCCTCTCCGGTCGAGTTATTATTTGAGCACAATTATACATTCTTATATTGATGGATTTTTTTCTTCCGTGATGTTCCTGTTATTTATTTATTTTTATGTAGGGGCTCGGGGTTAAGACTATGCAAAGATCTAATTGCAGGAAATATAATAGTTTGCCTTCGGTTCCCTTGGGTCATGTTATTATCTCTTAAAAACCAATGGCTGAAGAGAGAGAATGGAATTCTGAGCAGTAAATTGGGAGCTGTAAACAAATTATTTTCCCTATAATCAGATTATGTGATCCTGATTATTAAATCTGAACATGCATCATTGGTCATAGACAGGCAAATTAAACTGATTATTATTTGAAAATGAAAATCTCCTTTGGCCAGGTCGATGTCTGTCCTTTCTTTTTTTAATGCCAGCTTGCCAATAGCTGCCTAAAGACTGAACTGCAAATTGAGATAAATGATACAATTATTGAGCATTTAGAAGTGGAAGATCATAACTTCTCCCTGAAAGGTGCAAGGGTGAGATAGAGGTGGTGACAATTAGAGCAAGGAATTGCTGTTTCGGCCGTTGTTGGCAAGTCTGCAAACAGACAATGGCTGTGGCACATTTGTTCAGTGAGCTTTTGTGTGGGGCCCTGGCTTGGGTGGCAGGAAGGGAGATGTGTTTACGTTTATACCCCTTGCTCATTCAAATATGATTAATGTTCTATAAAGCAGTGTCTTAATCGAAGCTGATGTTGTCAAACAATAACTAAATAGGGAAATAAACGACTCCATCATGCTCCTTCCTCAGAAGCAGGCGAACTGTCAGTGCAAAGTCATTAGAATATGATAATGAAAAATAGCTCAATTAAATGTTGTTATAGCTGTGACCTTCATTCAATTAAGACGCAAGAAAGTGTCTGCATTTTGCTTTGCATTTAACTGCCCTAAATTTAGAATATAGATAAAATCATTATTCAGTGGTTGCTGATATGTGCAATTAAAAGCCAACTAAATTAAAAAAGAAAGAAATTAAAGGAGAATGAAAAGGTGGGGTGAGTTCAGCCAGAGGACCCAGTTTTTCACAAGGACCAACTTGTCGGCAGCTAGGGGAGGAGAATGCTGTCTTGGGGAAGAGGAAGGAAATCAAGCCAAGCATTTCAAATTTTTTTAAAGCCAGGAATTGTCTCCTAAGAGGGGAAGGGAGAGGTTTGCTGGATGGAGGAAAGAACACAAGGTTTCCACTGACCTCTGGGAATATTTGGGGGCTGGGATACTTGTCTTCCACAAGGTTGCTTTTCTGCAAAGACAGTTTTGGTTCTAAGGCTTAAGGAATTTGATACCAGCCTCTAAGATGATGCTTAGGCCGAGTGGATCATGAGCTGCTTTCTTACCTGATCAAGCAGCAGATGTTTATTGAGGGATTGCTTGCCGAGAGCTGTGCTCAGTGCTCTGCATTGTCTTCCTAACAATGCCCAGGGGCTGGCCACTATTGTCCCTAGCTGGTTTGTACCATGGTTTCTAGACAGGACAGTGGGCTTCAAATCCTGGAGCTGCCACTTACCACCTGACAACCTCTGGGGAGTTAATGAGCTGCTTAATTTTTTCAGCTGTAGAACAGGGAATGGCCTACTTTATGGAATTGGTCTTGGATTCTAGAGACTGAGTTTCTAGCAGGTATACTGGGTTGATGGTAATGAACTTGTCACGATGGATAAATGGATGACTTCAGGAGTAAACATAGGTGTGAGATTTGGCACACAAAAGGAGGATGCTTAAATAAAGCTTGCTGGAAAAGTTAAGGAGTATTTTTCAATGAGGAAGAGCTAGGGCAATCTTTTTGAAATTCCTTAACCATTATGCTCAGTAGTAAATTTATTCCACATATTTAATGTACTTGCAAGGAGTCTAAGTGCTTGGCTGCTAACTGAAAGGTTAGCAGTTCAAGCCCAGCAGCAGTTGTTTTGCTATGTGACAGTCATCCTCTTGAAGATTGCAGCTGTGGGAACCCTGTGAGTGGTTTCATGGTGTTGCGATGACTCAGAAGAGATGTGGCTGATGGGGATGCATTTGTTAGTTTGTTTCATGAAAGAAATTTTCCACAATATGGAGCAGTTTTACCTTTCCAACAGGTGGGTTACAAGATGGGCTGGGTCAAACTGATACAAGGTCAGCAGTTCCCAAGTTGCTTGGTGGGAGAAAGACGAGCCTTTCTGCTCCTGCGGAGATATAGTCTCAGAAACCGGGGGACGTTCTACTCTGTCCTCTGAGTCGGGACAGACTCCTTGGCAGTGAGTTGAGTATGATCCTTGCGTTGCTATGAATTGGCTCCAGCTCAACCACATCGAATAACAATAATATTACCATTCAGATACTTTTTGCTATTTAACATTTCTTAAAAAAAATCTTTTGTGGCCTACTACACAGACCCACTAATGGGTCAAAATCTGTAGTTCCAAGAGCGCGACTTTGGGAGGTCTTTTGCTCTGCTCATCACACACCTGGTCAGTGGAACACCGCAAGCCTTAGGCAAGGGGTCCATGGCGTTGGTTTCAGACTCTTGTCGGAAACACCCCCTGTCTGCTTTTCTTCCTTTATTGAATGAGTGTTTTGCTCTCAGGTGTGGTTTCAGAACCGAAGGGCCAAGTGGAGGAAAACAGAGAGAGGGGCCTCAGACCAAGAACCTGGTGCCAAGGAGCCCATGGCGGAGGTGACACCTCCACCAGTGAGAAACATCAACTCACCGCCCCCCGGGGACCAGGCCCGGAACAAGAAAGACACTCTGGAGGCCCCACAGAGGTGAGATGGGCCTGGGGAGGTCACAGGCAGTGACAGCCCCGTGGATCGGAAACTCAGTGTGATTTTCTTTCTTTGGCAGCCTGGGGCGAACAGTGGGTCCCGCAGGACCTTTCTTCCCCTCTTGTTTGCCAGGGACCATCCTGAACACGGCCACATATGCCCAGGCCTTGTCGCACGTTGCCTCCTTGAAAGGTAAGTTTTGAGTAAGCTGGCAGGATGGGCTGGATTTGGCTTCCTTGGAGATCATAATGAAAATGTCTCTCTAACGATCCTGCTCCTTGGCTCAATCTTGCACCTCTGGACAGGGCAGTCCCATCCTCCTGCTGTAAATCACAGCCGCATTGAAGGACTGCATCATTTTTTAAGAATGAGATTGGAATATAAGTGAAAGCAGAAACCGTGGCTCCATTTAACAAATTGGCTTGTCCAAGGGGCAGTTCTTTGAAAAGCGGCCACTCCATGTTGATACAGTCCACCCTCTAACTGCTGATGCCTTTAGTCGATAAGCAGCAGCTCCTGGCGAAGCTGTGATGGCTGCTTGTCTCTGTTGCTAAGTTGTCCCCGTATTTGCCTTTGTGCACTCACCTTCCCTACGTACTCTTGATCCAGAAAGGCCTTTAGGGTTTCTGGTTTTTCAATGTGTTTCCTGTTTTCTCAGTGTTTGTTGCTCTCTGAAGGATGAAAATGTTTAGGGATTTGGGGGTGGGGGTGGGGGTCAGGTTTGGAGTGAGGAATCTCTTGCGGGGCCGACCCCTAGGGATTTCTGGGCAGTCCCACTGGATGAGTAGGCCCTTCTAGTCTCCCAAGCCCGTTCTTCGTGTGGGCAGGGCAGGGGTAGGGGCAGGCTGGGTCCCAGATAGGCGTGGAGCAATGGAAGCTGGTGCTCTCACCTGAGGCTCATCGGTCTCCAGGATCTGGGAGGTGGGGCTGCAGGTTCAGGCTGTAAGTGTTTTCTCTGAAATATCCTGTGACAGAGGCAATGGGGTTGGTACCTTGTGACATCTCTTGTCTGTCCTACTTAAGGGCCTGTGGTCTCCCTGTGCCTCCAGCATGTGAGCAGCAGACATATACTTAGAGTGTGGCAATTTGTACCCCAATGTGGGTTCTTCAGTTGGAATGAGCATCTAACCAAGTCACCCATGGGCCAGGCATCTCTAAGACAAAAGAAGCAGGAAGACAGCATGTGCCAAGTGTCAGGAAAGATCATAGGTTGCAGGACCAGGGCCAGAACTGTAGCCCTGACAGACTCCTAGCTTTGAGCTTTACACAGTAACAGGCAGACCCTGTGAACTGTCTAGGGGAGTTGGATGAATCTTCTTGCTCCATTGAGCAACCAAGTTTAGCTCTACCCCAGCCTAGATCCCATGACCCTTCTTTCAGCTCCAGGGTACAGGTGACAAATACAGCCCTATAGAGCAGCCCCAGAAAATAATTTCAAGACATAGTGGGCACTGTGACGGTGGGCCATTCCAGAAAGGGACAACCAGTGATTTTGGGCATCACAAGCTCAGAAGCAACAAAGTCAACATGGAAGAAGCACACCAGCCTGTGTGATCATGAGGTGCCGAAGGGATCAGTTATCAGGCATCAAAGAACAAAAAAATCATATTATTGTGTGCTCACCTCCCCAATATGATTGCTGAAGACTGATGGGTGCATAAGCAAATGTGGTGAAGAAAGCTGATGGTGCCCGGCTATCAAAAGATATAGCGTCTGGGGTGTTAAATGGTTGAAGGTAAACAAGCGGCCATTAGCTCAGCAGCAACAAAGCCCACATGGAAGAAGCACACCAACATGTGTGATCACAAGGTGTCAAAGGGATCAGGTATCAGGCATCAAAGAAAAAAAATCACACCATTGTGAATGAGGGAGTAGTGCAGAGTGGGGACCCAAAGCCCATCTGTAGGCACTGGACATCCCATTACAGAAGGGTCATGGGGAGTTGATGAGCCAGTCAGGGTGCTGTGTAGCAACGATGAAACATACAACTTTCCTCTAGTTCCTAAATGCTTCTTTACACACCCCCTCCACACACACACTATTATGATCTCAATTCTACCTTACAAATCTGGCTAGACCAGAGAATGTGCACTGGTACAGATAGGAACTGGAAACACAGGGAATCCAGGGCGGATGATCCCTTTAGGACCAGTGGTGAGAGTTGTGATACCAGAGGGTGGAGGGAAGGTGAGGTAGAAAGGGGGAACCGATTATAGGGATCCACATATAACCTCCTTCCTGGTGGACAGACAACAGAAAAGTGGGTGAAGGGAGACGTCAGACAGTGTAAGATATGATGAAATAATAATTTATAAATTATCAAGGGTTCATGAGGGAGGGGGGAGCGGGGAGGGAGGGGAAAATGAGGAACTGATGCCAACTTAAGTGGAGAGCAAATGTTTTGAGACTGATGAGGGTAACGAATTTACAAATGTGCCTTACACAATTGATGTATGTATGGATTGTGATGAGTTGTATGAGCCCCAATAAAATGATAAAAAAAAATTGGGGGCATCACGGAAGGGGGCAGTTTGTGTAAAGCAGCAATCCAAGCATCCTATCAAAGCCTGCTGCTACAGATCCTGAGAGGAGCCTCCTTTTCTATAAATGTCTTTTGCTCGCCCTGCTCTAGCCCAGTCTGTGCTCTCAGCTTTCTTTTGTGAGTGGAGGTCTGTAAGTGCTAAAGGAGGGGCTGGCTTGACTGCTGTGAGTGGGTGGAGCCTGTGAGTGGGTGGAGTCTGTGAGGTCCTCTCAGCCTGTGGGTGGAGGTCTGTGAGTGCCAAAGGAGGGGCTGGCTTGACTTCTGTGCAGGGTGGGCAGGGCAGTGCATAAGTAGGAGATAGAGCTAGGGTCAGAACCACATCTCCTGACTCCCTGTACACTCAATGCTCCCAGCTCAGCAGCAACAGAGAGTGCAGGGAGTCCCATGTTGGTGGAAGGGCTAGCACAAAAAGCTCAATTCCCTTCTCCAGTTCTTCTTCATTCCTCTCCATAGGAAGGACTCCATTTCCCTAAGCCTTTTTGGTTGGCCTGTGACCCCTGTGTCTACCTCCCTGGGAATCAGACTTTCCTTTGACGCTGCCTTGGCTGCTGATGGCTTTGGGGGTGTGTGGGATCCTATAGAAGTGACTGAAACCTCACATGTGTTTACCATATCTTTGTATATTGTGTTGGGTCATATTGGTAATTAGAGGGACAAGACTTGTTCTGTAGCTGGTGACACTCAAATGATTCTAGACCAAGTGGGTACTGAGCATGAGAGAAGTGAACAAATACAGGAATTGTTTTCCTTTCTTAACTAAAAATGTACCCTTGCTCGTTATTCTTAATACAACTAGATCTCTTGGCTTATTTGTGGTTTTCCAATTTCTGATACAGCACAGAGAAAAGATACAGTTCATTACTAGGATAAAGAGCCATTCAAAGACCCGTACTAGTGTGCCACCTAGGATTTGAGTGGGGCAGAGGGAGAGCCTTTGCCTCCCTCAGCTGTTCAACCCAACAAACTGCAGCCATGTGTTCTAAAATTCTTGACTTTCAAGAGAAACTGGAAATATTAAAAAAATTTTAAATCGGAAATAGTACCATTTAAAAATGTTACCTCCAACTCTTTGGGATGAAATGGCACATCGAGGGTCAGATGTAGCCTGTCCTGCTCTCTTGTGAGTGCCACTCAAACAGTGAGAGAACTGGAGCCATCCCTGGTCCCTCTCATCTCCACTTTCTATCTTTTCCTCATTCCTTGGCCTTTCCTCAGGTCTTTCACTTGATCAGAGTTCTGTTTGGTGCCTCTGGGCTAGTCTCTCCCTCGGCTCATCCTGACACCCTGCTTTTGTGAGCTCTGGCAAACGAGGTTATGTTGGAAGGGAGGGAAATAAGCAATTGTTGGGAAGTTCCTCTATTTTCTGCAAGATGAGCTCAAGATATAATCTCATTGAGTCCCAATTATAACCCACTGAGCTTCATGTAGTTGAGGAGTTTCAAAGTTGCACTGCTAGTAAGTACATCTGGGATCTCGGTACTAATAATGATTTGGTACTCTTATTTTGTTCTACAAGTGATCTGGCACTTGTGGACATTTCTGCAGGGGAGGGACCCTGAGCTGGAAGACTCTGGGGCTAGACCAGATCAAAGATGTTCACTGGGAGGTGCTGAGGGACCAGGCTCTGCCTCACTAACCAGGCCTTGCTTTAGGTCCCAGGGGGTGAAGTATGTGCCTGTCCATAACCAGGGTCATGGACATTTGAGGTGTGGAACCATGGTTTGGACTTAGGATGTATTCTACCTCCCTCCTCCTTCCAGTTTCCCCCAATATAAGGGTATAGTGTGACCTAGAGCCCATAAATTAGTGATCACAACTATAAGGACCAAAACCTCTTCTCTTCTGTCCCAGTAGGCAGACACTTCTCTCTCTCCTCTCTCTTTCTCTTGGGTTTGGACTCTACTTTCATCAGGCTATTGACCAATAAGAGGCAGTCTCTGTTTGCTTATGCTAGAAGCTTGCCCATATTAGAAGGCACCTGACTATGTGAGTCCACCTGTCCTTTCACAAATAGAAAACTAAGTCCATGTATTCAAACATTACTCAACCAGGTCACCCCTTTATCCATGTGGGGCTTCTGCCCCCCTTTGTCTGGCACCCAGATATCATTTATTCATTCATTTCCCCGGAACAACACCTGCCGGTAGAGAAAGCAATGAGGGTATATCGACCCATACCCTTCTCCCTAGCAGACAAAGACAGTCATGACTCTGCTTGGGTGGGAGCCCCGGCCTCACCAGAACTACTGAGTCCTGGACCAATATGAGCCGAGCTTCTAATCCAGGCATCCCGGGCCTGTGAAAATTTTCAAATAACACAAAGAAATGAATTGGTCAAAACTGATATCAGTTCCCAGATTCAAATCAGAGGTCTTAGGTGTGGTAGTCCTAACGGGGAACATTAGCTTGAAGATAATAAGAGTAGGACCCTGGGATCTGCGTGTTGTGGCCTAGTCCTAACACTAAGCCAGGTAGTGCTGCTCTGTGTCTCCAGGCCAAGCTCCCGGGATGTGGAGCCAAGGACCCCTATGCAGCTTCCCAAGTAAGACTGGAAGTGCAGGGCAGGTGCCCAGTGCACTGGAGTAGAATAATCACTTTTCAGTTGTTTCCCATTAATTCCTAAGGTGTGTTATGTAAAAAGGATCACCAGT